ATTTCAGACTCTGTGGTGACCAAGATGCTTTCGTGGGTCTCTCCTTCAGAAAACTGCCATGTGCTACATACCCTCAATGAATCTTCTCTGATAATGATGCATTAAGGGGAAACTGGCCTCCTGAGACTCCCACAGATATGAGCAATAGATGGAAATATTTGTATCAAACAGTACTAGGCCATCCATGACCTACTGACGAGCATGGTGGCCAACTTTCCCCTTTTCCTCGGTACTCTCTTGTTCAAGGCCACTGACAACACATTGAGTCTCTGTGTCAAGCAAAACTATGATTCCACCAAAAAGGAATTAAACCTTCTGGGCTGGGGAAAAGCTTTCAACAGACACAACAGAGCCAGCAGATGCAGAGGCACAGAAGGTGTTATCTTCGACCCCTCCCTCCCATCCCTGTACCCGAAACCGCCCAGGTACCTACGCAGGTAATAGAAAACTTCAGAGCATTTCCTATCATCCATTTCCAAAGTTAAAAGGACCCAGTCGTCCCTCAGAGCTGTCTCCAGGACAGAAGAGTCCCTATTGGAAACCCCCATTTTTCTTTCGGGCACACTTCAAAACAGACAGAGGAAGAAGGAAAATCAATGCTGGAAATGTCAAAGATTTATCTGGCCAGTGTCTTAGGAAATCTATCTGGGCTTTTGCCCATCAAATGGCCTGTCTTCTCTGCGTGCAGACATGAGATAAGCACAGTTTTTCCCACCTGCTTTCCCCCTCCCCTCCCCTCAGGTCATTTTCATTACTCTTCACTGAAGACATTCTTTCTGTGAGTCTTTCTTCAAAGCTGCAAAATGAGAATGTTCACTTTCCAAAGCAGAACCCCAGTGATGGCTTTTCCAAGTAGTGGTCTCCAGGATGGGGGCTCTGGGTCTCAGGGGACAGACCTCACTGCTGAGTGCAGATGCCCGGGCGGGGGCTCGGGAGCTGTCATCTGAGCCTCCATGTTGAGAAGCCCAGTCGTCACCTTCCCCAGTAACCACGTCTGCAGCTTTGAGGTTTTACCTGTCCACTCCTGGGTTCTGTCCCTCACTTGTCCCCAGATATTCCTCCCTCCTCCTTGCTGGACCTTCCTCCCTCCTCCTCCCTCCTTGCTGGAGGAACGTTCTTTCCAGAGCCTACTCTGAGCTTCCTTCTTGAAACGACACCTGATAGTTGAGCATGAAGGCTAAGGGTGCCTCTGTCAGCCTTCCCTCCTGGATTGCCCTCCTTACACGAAGAGGTCTTCTTGGTGTAGCTGTGGAACCAGCCCATTTTTTTAAGCAGTGCCTAACATGGGACTTTCCAAACCTGAGTCTCTCGTGAACCGCCTTCACCACTCGGCCACAGGCTGGGCCGCTTACACTATTATTCTTTGTCTCCTATTTTTCTTAAATCAATCCACTTTTTAAAAACACACATATGTTTAAAAAAGAAACCACAGCAACATCATTTACCGTAAACAGAATGTAACTCAAGGATCAACTCAGCGCAAACAAAGCGATGTTACAAAATCCTAATCAGGCCATGCTCCTAGCTGAAGACACAAAGTTTGAAACCTGCTCTCTCTTCCTTAAACAAGAGAGATCACCAAGTCTCACAGAAATGTAATAGTCACAAGGGCGCAAACCAAGGTTCTCCCTGGCATGATGAGAAGAGCTAAAGGAAAATGAGGAAGGGAAGCAACTCCCAGCCATGAAGGTGAGTGTCATTTAATGCCATTGCGGGCACCACCTAAAACCGCTCACCTAAAATCTCCGTGGTGGACACCCCCTCCCTCTCTCCCAAGAAAGTTTATTGAGCGTCTACTATGTACTCGAGAATTTCTAGGGACTGGAGAACCAAACACAGTTTTAAAAAAAAATAAAAAAAGCTCTTTGCCCACATGAGACTTTAAACGGACATTTCAATAAACAGTGTCGAAGACAGACTTTTCTCCAGTCTAGCACCTTAAACTAAGGAAAAACCCAGATTCAAAACTATGAAAACCAGTTGCCACCCCACACCCCCAGAAAGAGACTGACTATTCACCGAGCAGTTTCTCTGATTAAGCTCTTGATAAAAAATGACATGTGGTTACCGGCTGTTAAGTGTCTAATATACTTTGTAAGCAGTATTAACTGCCCCCCAAACCTCAGGGCTTCCCAGATAAACATATCTCCACCCAAATGTTCTCCCCCACCCATCTGAGGGGCAGCCCCCAGTGCTAAGAGAGGACTGACATTTAAAACCCGACTGAAGCCACACAGAACCCTGTCTATTTTAAATGCCAACGAGGAAGGCAGCCGGGCCAGCAGGTTTCTCCAGGAGGGACTGAAAAAACCACTTCTCTGTAGTTGGATTTAAAACTCCATCACCAGAGACAGCAAGAGAAGAGAGTGTAGGCACGACTGACCTTTGAGTCAAGGGCGACTGAAATGATTCACATTTGTGACTAACTATCTCTTTCTTAATCTTTGTTTGTCTCTTCCTGGACAGGGGCTTCCTTTGAAACAGCTAAGACATTTGACCTGATTGAATTCCAGGCTTCTGCTGGGTCTTGCTCCAGATTTAGAGTGAACATTCTCTGGGTGTGTGTGTGTGTGTGTGTGTGTGCGTGTGTCAGCTGACATTTGTCATTCTTTCACAGTGCACATACAAGTTTAAGCTTCCTGATTTATGGAACGAAAAGGAAAGGATGCCTGTGTTGTTTTTAAAACCTAAAAACTTTCAACAGTCTAAAAACTATGCTCACCTTAGAGAATATCACCAACCTGAAACCAATTTGTTATGTATTTTTATGTTAGTTTTCCATGGAAGGGGATGGATTACACTTTAGAATAACAAGTATGACTCTCAGACAACACGGTGGGTGAAGGGGGCCGATCCTCCACGTAGTTGAAAATCTGCATATAATTTATAGTTGGCCTCCATACGCACAGACACAACCGACCACAGATCCTGTAGTACTACAGCATTTACTATTAAAAAAAAAAATCCACATTGGGAAGGGGGAGGGTATAGCTCAGTGGCAGAGTGCGTGCTTAGTATGCATGAGGTCCTAGGTTCAGTTCCCAGTACTTCCACTTAAAAATAAATAAACCTAATTAACCCCCCCAAAACAAACCAAAACAAAGAAAATGTAATAAAGTTAAAAAATAAACTTAAAAAATAAATTAAATAGTATACTTGAAAAGATAATTGTTTAAAAAACTCACTCATAAGGGGGACCCACACAATCAAACCCATGTTGTTCAAGGGTCAACTATTATGTGAATTTAATAAACAGTTATTATCCTGTCTTACTCTGCACTAGTCACTGTTCAAAGCACTTTACGAATCATTAATTTCACAAAACCCCACTAAGGTTAGGTCCAAGACCCTTGTTTTTACAGAACAGGACACTGAAACAGAGAGGAAGAGAAACTTATCCAAGGTCACATAGCTAGGAAGTGGCTATGCTGGGCACTGAACTCAGGTAGTCTGGCTCTAAGCATTTGTCTATGCTGCCCCAGCCCCCCTTACACTATGCTGTGTGCTTTGAATGTGTTATTTTGTGTAATAAACCATACAATGACCTATAAGGTAGGTCATATTTCTTATTCCATTTTACAGATGGGAAAACTGAGGCACAGAGAATTGAAGCACCTTGCCCAAGATCTCTTGGCTAATAAGTGAAAAGTGGGGGGTCCGACTTCACTAAAGTGTCACCCAGACAGTTACATGACATCTTCCCCTCAAGCCTCCCTCCATGTGCCTTTGGTGGAGTCAGAAGGCAGCTTAGGTCAGTGGATTAGAAACCAACCTCTAACTGAACCTGGAATCTTGAACTCATTGGCCCCATAACAACAAGTTTTTAGGCAGGAGGGATGTTAGATTGTCTGGTCCAATTCTGTCTTTAACAGAATAGACAAAGAGGTTTAGTGACAAGAAAACTTGGCTAAAGGGACATATAATTAGAATTAACTAGATACCATACATGGGGGTGGGAGGGAATGGCATTAGAGAAGCAGATCTCAAAGTGTGGTTTGGGGTCCCCTGGGGGATGCCCCAGACCTTTTCCACATGGTCAGAACAATTTCCTTAAAACACTAAGCTATTATGTGCCTTGCATCCTCCCTGAATGTACTGGGGAATTTTCCAGAGATTACATGACATGCAATAACACAACAGACTGGCTGTGAGACAGACATCCTAGGCCCTAGGATGTCACCTAGGGTGTCTGCGCCTCTAGTCTGCAGACAGAGATTGGCCAACACATAAAAC